CATTGTTCTGGATTTATTAAGGTCCTTCGGATTGGCAAGATTTTGCCGCATTCATCAGGTGAGTTGCCTTCTCCTTGGATAAAGATTTTAAATATTTTAAAAGTTCTGGAAAAATATTATTTTTTAAATTAAACACCACAAGGGTGCTTAGAATATGGATTTTAGAGAGTTTACAATGAATTAAGGTTCCAGATGGATTTGGAATTATAGCTTTGAATTAATTAGAATAATTATTCCTGTGGGAAATGGTGATTGTATGGGCTTTTTAAAGAGGAAACATGATAATGGGACCTTGAGGTTTGGATACTAGAGGAGCTAGAGGATAATAAATTCATTTCAACAAGAAAAAATGGAGCTGAAGTCCTTGATGGATGTTTTTGAATTCTGGTCTTTAAAATTACTTCATATGATAGATTGTATGTCAGTGAAGTTATAGAAGAAGAACAAGCTACAACCAATGAGTTTGAAATTAATTTGAATGTGGATTTAAATGTGTCAAGTACATTATAAGAATATGGAAATAGAACTAATGGATGTTTCACTGCTTAAAGGAGATGTACAATTATTAAACCAGAAAAGCGATTTGGATAATTTTTTCTTACTGGATCCACAAAAGAGGTCTGCTAAAGTGTTGAAGGACTTTATGAGAAGTGACAAAAAAAAAAAAAAAGGACAAATTTTACGTACTGGATGTAAAGTTTTGAAAGGTTCTTGGGTTAAAAAAAAGATGAATAGAAAACCAGCTCTAGGATTATATTTGAAGGGGTTAAAAATCAAGATTGTCAAAAATTCAGGGAATGAGTACAGGGTTGGCTTATTCAATCAAGGTTAAAATAGAAAATTAGTTATATCTGTTTTCCCTCACTGGACTTTTGTTGATAAAGAACGAATGTCGAAGCTTTTGGGTTCTGTTTTTAGTTAAGAGATGAATTATGGGGAAGTTCCTTTTTCTCTCTCTCTTTTTTACACTTTTTTCTTTTTTTGTATATTTCTTTTTCTATTTCTATATTTTTTGTAGTTTGTACTAGTTTTTATTCTATTTGTAATTCAATAAAATTATTGGAAAAAATATACTTTCATATATCTACATTAACATGTTATCTTTAAGAATAACATTAAGTATAACGTTCGTTCAGAGATTTAAAATTACATTTCCTGCAAGGCTGTGCAATTAAAGAGTTAGCTGGCCACTCTTTAATTTCTACAAGGAAAACATCAAAAAAAAAAAAAGCTAAGAGAAGTGGAAGAGGAGAGAGGCAGGAAACAATTAGATAAGGTAAAAAAGGGGAAACTAGTATATATCATAGGAAAACAGAAAAATGCAGGATTGTCCTTGTGACAATCATTCTGTGATAAAGCACTCAGGAGTAGTTTTGGTTGATGAACCAATAAACAGAGGCAAACTATATTTCATATTATCTGTTCATGCAACGTTATTGTTAAATAAAATTTTAACTATTTACAATCAACTATTCCTCTGAGCAAATGAGGGATTGAATTCCTCCCCTTTCCTCACATCTAAAATACTACACTTGGAAAGTAAGAGAGAAGATACTCGCAGTTTACAAATGTTATATTTTTTGTCTCAGAGCAGTGGCAATTTATCTCTTCTCAAAATTAATCTATCTCCAAAATAAACTTAGAAGAAATGCTATCACGTCCAAAACAAATAAACCATTGTTTGCTGCACCTAGATAAAGCAGGACAGCCATTTTACTTCTGTGTATTTTCAAAAGTACCCTGTGGAGCTCTACATGTGTATTGTTCTTGTCCTAATATTAAATCCACAATCTAAGATCAAGGGGATATAGACATATGATGTTTCAGAAACAGAACAATTATATTCTCATTCTTTTCATCTGTATTGGTTCTAAAGTTAGACTAAAAGAAGCATGTTCACCCATACTTCCTAGCTGACATCCATCAGTCCTGGCTCCCATTGCAGATAACTGCTTAATGCTATTCTGATGACTGGCAAGAATTTAGTGGATTAAAAAAATAAATAAAGGAAATGAAATAACTGAAACAGTATATTTAGCACCAGGTATAAGCTAAGTATTTCATTACAGTAATTCGCTCTACATGGGGCTTTCCTTGAATACCACCTAAAAATGTCAGATGGTACATGATAAAGTACAAGCCTGCATGTTTGCTGGTCACTCTAAAGCGCTTACGAGCTACACAGTTGCTATGGGAGTTGCAAACCTGTAAAATCTTTAATGGCTCAGGTCTTTATAGTATTTAACAGACTATAGCACCTGATAAATACTACCTATCCATTCCAAATAGTCAGAGAATGCCTGCCAGGCTCCCTATCTACCAGGTGGAGTGATGGGAAGAGGCCCAATGGTAGGCATTCTCTGTAGGGGCTTCCCTCCAATGGAACAGCTTACCTTTATCTTCCAAGGTAAGGCTCCCACCCTTATAGCCTTCTAGGAAGTTGTAACGACCTGGCTTTTCCAGAGAGCATTTCAGGGTTCATTCCTGAGCTGCCAGTGTAGGACTTAGCTCTATGGTATTGATATATTGTATTTTATTATATATACTACAAAGCACCTAGAATCCAATTGGATTGAGGCAGTGTAGTAGTATAAATATAAATGTTTTCAGGTACTCTGCATCCCAATAATACTTTGCAAATAATGAACAAAAATTGTCACTTACACATTTTGTTTGTGGGCTTCCCAGAAACATCTAGGTAGGAACAGGATTAGATTTATGGTTTCATGCAACAGAACTATTCTGTTATCCATAGGCACCCACAGCTAGCCACAATGATGCCAAAATATGTATGATGACATGATGCAAGCTCTGCCATTTCATATTTGCATTACAACATCAGACACAAGTCTG